CACCGGTGTGTAAACTGCTTGACCTCAGGAGAGGTGTTCCCAGTAGGGTTGCCAGGTGTCTGGTTTTCAGCTGGAATGTCCAGACTAAAAGGGACCCTGGAGGCTCTGGTCTGCACTGCTGAACGGGCTGTTGTCTGGCTGGCTCCCTGCTTGACTCCATGAAACTCCTGGGAAGTGGAGACATGTCCCTCCTGCTCTGAGGTGGAGGTGTAAACTGCTTGACCTCAGGAGAGGTGTTCCCAGTAGGGTTGCCAGGTGTCTGGTTTTCAGCTGGAATGTCCAGACTAAAAGGGACCCTGGAGGCTCTGGTCTGCACTGCTGAACGGGCTGTTGTCTGGCTGGCTCCCTGCTTGACTCCATGAAACTCCTGGGAAGTGGAGACATGTCCCTCCTGCTCTGAGGTGGAGAGGTAGCCATGTAGGTGTGCGCTGCCCTTGCTCACAGTGGCTACCCCAAGCATTGACTCTGCAGCTCCCATTGGCCAGAAGCCATGGCCAATGGGAGGTGCGGAAGTGGGGACAACGCATGGTGCCGCCTGGCTACACCTCTGCCTAGGAGCTAGAGGAACATGTCCCCATTTCACAGGGACATGCTGCCTGCGATCAGTGCTGCCCGGTTGTGCACACACTTCACCTCCTCCCATGCCTCAACCGCTTCCCGTGTCTCAATCCCCTGGCCCAGCCCCCTCACACAAGCGGACTCCCTCCCAGAGTCTGCCACCCCCTCCTGTACTCCAACCCCCTGCCCAGCCTGGAGCCGTGTCCCACATTGTAAACCCCTCATCCTCAGCCAGAAGCCTCCTCCTGGACCCCAAACCTCATCTCTGGCCCCACACCTCCAGCTAGAGCCTCACTCCACAGCTTGCTGCTCCAGTCCAAATCCCCCACACATATTCCCAACCTCTCATCCCCACTTCGGAGCCCCTTCCCACACCCTAGCCCCGACAGAATCCGGCCCGTTATTAATATTAAATTTCCGCACGGTTTTTGCTCTGGGAGGAGTTAACTTTTAACTGTGCAGTTTAAAGGAAACAAAAGGGCATTTCACTCCGCTCAACCCATGCAAAACTCTTCCACCTGGTGTCTTTGCCTGGCTGCTCTCTTTCTGGATTACCGTGGGGTTTATAACACAAAAAGCGTGTTCAGGGCAAGGAAAGAAAACAATAGGAATAATTAGATCACAAAGTCTTCCATCAGGAAGACCCAACAGAAATAGACGGTCATTTTAACGTTCTTCATTCTTTTTTCTTTCCCTTCCTTCCTTTTGTCCCGCAGGGTGCCCTGACAATTTCACCGATTCCCAGTGTTTAAATCCCATTACTGCTTTTCAAGGCTGCATGAGGCTCATCTTTATTGATAACCAGCCCAAGGACCTCATTTTAGTTCAGCAAGGTTCTCTGGGGAATTTTAGTGATTTACACATTGATCTGTGTGACATCAAAGACAGGTAATTATTGTCTTTTCTCTTCTTGTATTTAGTTTTTTCCCCCTCATCCTAGCAGTTTATAAGTACCGGTTGCTTTAATGAAAATTCTAGTCCTCCAGCATTACACATATTAAGCATAATAGAGCCACTAATAGAAAATATCACTGCAAAAATAGAGGGA